TTACAAAGCACGTGGCCTGTTTTGCTACCTCTGCATCTCTACACACCACTGAATGCCTCAAATGAAGAAAACAGAGGAAGGGCAGGGGGAAAAAAACCTTTCAATGTTATCAATTAAATACTCTCTCTGGGCAGAGAGAAACCTGAGCTTGACTGAAAACAGAAGACTACAATACAGAATAAGACAACAATATTTTAGCTCCTGTTTATACACAACACAACCACAATGCCTTTAACTCTCACAGGAATCATTCTTCTTAATAAAAATGAAAGCCACAAAGAATCAGCTGTTTATTCACATATCAGAAAGAGACAGTTTTAAAACAAGGCAGAAAGAAAACATGTAAGAAAAAATTAATTACCTATAAACTACAAAATACTCAGCACATTATTAAATAACTTATGAATACACAGTATTTGTAAACACACATGCTCATAAGCACAAACAAAAATAAATCATTAAATCTATTATGCATTTGTTCATAAATGTGTTACAAAAGGTATAAAAAGAAGAATAAGACATCTATTTCTTTGCATTAGCTGATATTGAACATTTAAGTGACTTCATTCCCCAAAATTTAGAAAATGTAATCACCACTGGAATATAAAGAAATAGCATGAATGCCTTGCAGAAATGCCACCCAATACCTTATATTTGAAATTTATCAACTATCAATCATCTCTAATTAGACTTCAAGAAATTACATTAAAATATTCCTTTTTCCCTAATAAAACTAGCAGCAAAAATTCACTTAGAAAAAAAATTATGCCAGCTAATCATAACATAAAATGCTTGATTTTTTTAATAGTCATTAAGAATAAAGTTAAAACTGAAGGTCACCATCTTTATAATCCTATATAGGATTTTTTTCTCCTCAAAGGAAAACAAACCCACTACCACACATATTTTTAAAGTCCTTTCATTAATACTTTGAATTGTAGAAACCAAAATAATACAATATTCCCATTTAAAACCAAAATATTAAGATACCTTACAGGGCAAAGCAGAGCTTAAAAACCACTGCCAAGGCTGGCAAGACAAATGTAGTGTTGTTTTTCCCCTTGTATAATTAGACTTTTAGAGAGCACAAACGATTTCATTTGTTACTGATGTTTCACTTCAACATTTGCATAAACTCTTGGCCATTCAGCTGGACTTATTCACATACAACCATAGAACCACTTAGTCTGGAAAACACATTTAAGGTCATCAAGTCCAACCCCCAGCACTGCCAAGTCCATCACTAAACTGTGTCCATGAGCATCCCATCTACACATCTTTTAAATATCTCCAGGACTGTCAAGTCAACCATTGCTCTGGGCAGCCTGTTCCCATGTTTGACAACTCTTTCCATAAAGAAATTTTTACTAATATCCAATCTAAATCCATCCCTGGTGCAACCTGAGGCCATTTCCCTTCATTCTATCTCTTGTTACTGGGATGAAGAGGCTGACCCCAACCTTGCTACACTCTCCTTTCAGGTAGGGAGCAATGAGGTCACCCTGAGCCTCTTTTTCTCCAGGTTAAACACCCTCAGCTCCTTCAGCTGCTCCTCATCAGACTTGTTCTCCAAAGCCTTCACCAGCTCCATTACCCTTCTCTGCAATCACTCCAGCACTTCAATGTATTTCTTGTAATGAGGAGCCCAAAACTGGACGCAGCACTCAAGGTGCAGCCTCAACAAGTACAAGGGATGACCACTGCCCTGGTCCTGTTGGCTACACTATTTCTGAAGCAAGCCAATACAAATCCTAATGATATCACTGGTGAAAAAGAACTTGAAAATATTTTCCTGATCAGTAAGGTCCAGTCATTTCCTTCTGTTCAAGCCCACAAATGCTATTTCATTTTTGCTGTGCCATTACCTTCAGGTCAATATTATTGAACAGCTCAGAGAAATAAGAACCTCATTCTCTGAGAGCAATGCTAAACCTTCCAAAACTTAAAAGATCTACTTCAGTTAAGAGCAGGTAGGACTAAAGCAAATTATATGATTCTGCAATGCAGATTATTAAAAGTCAAAATTGGCCTTTAGTCCACACAACGTGCATTTTAAAAGATCCCACTCTTTCACTTCTCTCTTTATTTAAAAAAAAAACCTACTTCATACTGAAAATGAGTGGGCAGCTGGGTAGTTCACATTGAGCACATCTACTGATGGAAGGAAGGAGCCACATGCCTTGGAGAAGAACCAGCAGACTGCATGGGTGCTACAGTGTCCTGTGCACACGCAGAAACCAGCCTCACTGGTCGTTCTCTGTGTCAGAGAGGGCATCTTCAATTCTTTGAGTTCTTGGCCCACTGGATTCAATGTCAATTTTGCTATTGCCTTCAAGAAGACAAAGGCCTTAATTCACTGAAAATAGAAGATTCCCACCAGGAATACAGACAATTCTCAAAGGGGATATGAGCCTCAGTAGAAGTCAGATCCAAACCAAGAGCGATGGTAAAACAAAACCCACATCGTGGAAGGTAACAAAATGGCAAATAATCATTTCCTTAACAAAGAATTTCAAGAGAACAAATAATACGGAAGAAGGTGATAACACATTAACTCCAGTAGCAAATTAAAGTTGGATATTTATAATTTCCTTTGATATCATTTACTTGTGGGGAAGCATTAGGGAAGTAAACAATATAATTATTCCTTAATTGCCAGTACCTCTCCAGAAGAGGTCATATTCAGCAATTCTTGCCAAATTAAACAAAACTCCTTGCTCATCACATATTTACCTCACCTTCCATGGATGAGGTTCCATACCTTAAATAAAAACTCAATGCATTTAACCTGAAACTTCAGTTCAGATTAAAATGCAAGTGATATCCAGGTGCTTGTCTGTATCTCAACTACTCTAGCCATTACTCTAGAACATCTACACTTCAACTTTCCACGAACTTATAAAAAAATAAATTAAAATCTCCTAAACATTTAAAAAATAAAAAATGCAGAGAAAGCCTATTTACTTCAGTGGAAACAACTAATCAAACACTTTAAATTATGTATGCAAGGTCACAGACTGCTATATGCTGTGAAAAAGTTTTATGAAATCAAATGCATCATATCCTTTGGTTACATACATGACATGAGACAGAGTTGTTGCCAGGTTTTATTAAAAGCTACAAGAATGAAAAAAAGTATGAACCTTCCATTTGAGTACTAAAGGCATCTGGTACCACTTTCTCTGTGAGCTGAAGGCCATGTGTGGGTTCAAAATTACAGTTTGAGCCCTCTGAAAGCAATGCCATTTTTCACACAGACTGATGATTCCCTGACAAAGTCACTGCTATAACTAGAGCTAAAAACTACACATAGCTGGGAATTGAAATATTTTCACTCAGTGACACAATAAATTAAGTTTCAGTACATATTAATTAATTGTGGACTATATGTCATAATCCTCATGCCTACCAGCTCAGTTAGGAGATTTGACTTGGAGACGACTTTCAGCTTAGTCCTACACAGGCTGGCCTGAAGCATAAATGCCACCCAACAAGAGAACATGAACTAACATCACTTAAGACTTGCCCTGATCTACACTGACCCCTAAACCACACTAAGCCACACATCAGCTAACTGAATTATTGGCAGCTGTGTTGAGGCACAGTAACATTTTATATGGTCTGCTTAGACCTTCATGTTCTCATATTTTTAACAGTATATATATGTGATTATTATGTTCTGATGTTCACTTCTTGCTGAGAAGATAACTCTGAGTATAGCTTAGATATTACCTTCCATCACCCAAGTTTAGAGAGATGAGAAAAACTATGAATTTAATTATTGGAATATTTTTCCTACCTCAAAATAGAACAAATAATATTGATTACATAATGTATTCCATCACAGAGAATTCAACAATACTAAATTGTTAGAAGAAAGCTGGGCATCAGAAAAAGGAATCGTACAAATTAAGGTGTTCAATATGCCATTGTGTTCTCCAGAATTCAGATATTACAGGAGCAGTAATTATTGAGCAGAGACTGCTTGTGCCTCAAAGGAACATTATTATGAACAAATCCTCTGAGCTCATATGCCTCCCAAATTCATAGCTGCACAACTAGTCATTTCACTCCCCTGTGTCTTACCAGCATGGACACAAGCAACATCCTCCAACATGTTCAAATCATGCTAATAAATAGATCAGATTTTTCAGCAGTGTATTCATTGGAACTGAGTAAGCCTCAACATAACAAAACCTTTTAATCTTTCTCATTGGAAACTATGATCAAAGGAAAGATTTTTCTCAAACTATGTTTATAATTTATCAATCAATCTCCACTTTTCCTTCCAGTCCCACTGAAGATCCATAGCAAGTTTGCAGCGTTTTGCCTTTTTGGCAGTTTTGATAAGAGATGGATGACTGCTCAGCCTAAGACAGGTGTGAGCCCCAGAGCAGTCTAGCATCCCCTGAGCTGTACTGGGCTGCAAAGGAAATGGACCTCTCTGTTTAGCAGTGCTGATTACTTCTGCTTCCTCTGCAGCATTTTTTGCAATTCAATTTCTCTTTGAGAAACACCTTAGCACTACCAGAAATTATGAGAAGCAGAGCCAGGGGAAGAAACAATAGCTCAAAAAACCTGCATTGTTGAAGGGTACTGGACAAGCCCAGGTTCTGCTGCCACCAACACCAGTAGCAAAATTACCAGCAGTGGCATTACTCTAGTGCAAGTGTCAGCAGGATGAGCTCACTGTCCTATGGCTCTGTCCTTGACTGAACTGACAAACCCTTTGCAACCCAGCATCACCAGCTACAGGTGACCTGACACTGCACAGCCCATATTTAGTGTGAACAGGGAGAAAATAACATCACTTTGAGGAAGGCCTCAAAACATTACTCTTCATAAATATTTCCTCCATAATTCAATACAAATGTACAAAATGAGACTTACAGAAATAAAAGCATTAAGTGAAACATATGAAACATATTCATAAAAATACACTTTGCCCATCAACAAACATTTTACAAGCAATGAAGTCTTAGAAAGAATGTGATCTCTACCTTTACTTCTACCTAGAGACAGGAAGGTGTGTGTCCAGTTAAGAAGAGGAACAAGAGAGGTGTCCACCACGGAGGAGGCAAAAGAAAAGAGAAGGAGGAAGCAAAAAAAAGCATAAAAATATGTCACCAGCCATACTTAGAAAAACAAGGAAATGAGCATATTTATCTTGCAGCCAAACCCAACAAAATACAATGTCAAGGGAAAAACGAGAGATACACCACAAATAAAGCACAAAGCAAAGCTTAAACCACTGACAGTACAATCAGAAGCTGCCTGGTTAAGCTTTAATTTGATTTTCTACTGAGAAATGCAAACTGCTCATGCAATACCACGCCAGTGATATGCCTCAATCCACGTCAAATTCAAAACAGCAAGGGAAACAACAGAATAGGACAGGAAAAAAATAAATCTCATGGTAATATATTTGCTAAACACATCTCACCTACCAGAGCTAATGTATTTGTATATAATGTTGACATTGCATATTTACTCACACATATACATTTACATATTTTATATCCATCATATTTTTAGAGAGAGTAAATATTTATCAAAAGACAGTATCTGTGAGGTTGTTGGCAAGAAATGAAAAGCCACTGTTCCCTGATGTGTTATAGATAAACAAGGGTGGCTAAACTTTCCAGTGGCCAATAGTTTTCACATTTTTTGCCAGATGAGGGAGTATAGAAAGTGCTGATGACTGGCCTGAGTAGGTCATGCAAGTCTTCATGAGCCAGCTGTGTTGCAACTTGTAATTTAAATGTCCAAGTGCAACTGTTTACATAATCCAGTGCTAAATCACAGACTACTATAAAGAAATGTTCATTGTTATTGAGAATGAAAGTGGCCATCAACTGTTCTGATCACTTCCAATATGCCTTCCTATGTCAAAACAGCTTGCCATACTCAGCTGCATCCTGAGCAACTAGGACATGCTGAAGGGACCTGTCTGCTGGATGGTCCTGCAGTCGGCATGACCTCTGAGCCATGAGCCCAGTCGAACAGAGTGGGGACAGAGAAGGAGCTCAGTGCTTTCCAGAGTTTAGCCAGATGCCCCACATGCCAAACACATGAGGTCTTGACGTACACCTATGATTTTCCTACCAATTTTCCTACCTTTCCTACCACACAGGGATGTTAAGCAGTATAGAAACTGATAAATAAGTCCCTACTTTACTTCTGATTGTTACCTAACCTTTCACGACCTCAGAGCAGACATCCGTCTTGAAAAATAGAATAAAAGCTGATTATGTCTGAAGTCTACATTTCATTGAAATACATAGAAATTATGTCTGTTTTACTCAAGTACCTAATTAATCTTTAGCCTTTAGAGGCATTTTTACTATCTTACTAACTCCTTGGGCTGTATATCCTCAGATACATGCTTACTTAATGCCAAAAAAGCTTTTGTATACATTTAGTCTAGGAAAGGCTCATCAGGCTTTAGAGTCAAAACTTTCATTTTCTCCCCATAGGCCAAACACTTGGTCTGGTCTTCCTAGTGTAACACTGGCACATACCTTGCATTAAGTCTTAAGTCATTTCACTCCTGCATTCAAAAGACTAGAAGGCATCAGGAGTGCTGCTAACTCCTGTGCACCCATGTCAGTAAGACACTGGCACTGTCAGAAGAAAACAGAACCAGAATTCTCCTCGCTCTACCTGTTCTCACCAGCTTCTTACTCCACACCCTCGCAGTGCAAAATAGGACTAATTATCCCATCCTGTCACAGACAATAGATCTGTAAGTCAGTGAAGGCTGAAATATTAAAATGTGATCTCTGATCTGGGCCTAGATCCCATTTGTAGCCCAATATGGGGTTACCTCTGTTGTTCTTCTCAACATTTTGTTCTGTATGTATTTGAGTATTTTAAATTGCAGACGCAGGACTTACAGGACAAGATATGCAAATTTCCTCAGGATTCATAATGAGTTATGATCATGCCACAAGGGCTATTAACATACCTTTTGTAATAACTGTACTCTTAAAATAAAAAGACCAACATTGAGGTCTACATTTAGTAGGCAGAAGTGGGAGTCATTACAGATGGCACAAAAAGAAAGAAATGGCAAGATAAAGTAGTTGGTGGGCTGCATGGAAAAGGGATGCATACCTTTTGCATGATTACTACTATCATGGAATCATTTCATGCTCCCTCTTGGCCATCTGAGTCCTAGGTTGACAAGAAGCCTTGGCTCATGAGACACAGAGGCAAAAATGCAAATGGCTTGACTGGCACTCCATAAGCTTAGTTGCTTTTATTATGCAAAGCCCAGCCCAGAAAAGCAGCCGGGACAAAGCTGCTTTGACATGATCAGTGACAGAAACAAAGAAAAAGTGGAAGGACTTACCTTGTTCACCCATCATCAGGTGTGAGAGGCCTGAGAGATAGAGAGAGAGAGAGGAAGTAAGAGAAAAAGAACAAAACTGAAAGAAGCAGCAATATCCATGCACACTGGTCACAGTCCAATACTCATCAGGATTGGAGCTCACATACTTGAACTAGACCAAGTATGGCTGTAGCACACAGGGCACAAATATTTGCAGGGGCTGCTTTCCATACCAAGCAGGAAAGCATCTGTCACTGGTAGAAAAAACTGCTGCTCATTGCAGAATTGTGTCTGATGTTCAGCACACCCCTTGGAGATGGGGGCAACTCCAGAGGCACTGGACACCACTGTAGCTGAACGGGCTATGAAAGCCAAGGTCTGCAATGACAGTCTGCAGTGAGCTGTTGCTCCTCTGGAGCAATACAGAAATAACATCCCCTCAGCTAAAAACTTAAATTCAAGATTGCAGTGGTCAGTTAAAGGGAGGCCATGAGCACACCACACCTGCTTCACATTAATTCTCTGATCTAAATGCATACACGAATACAAAGCTATCATTGAACATGTGGCTTCATCATGCATTTTTAGGAGTCTATCAACACTGCTCACACTTACTAATTAGACACCAGTATACCAGACATAGCAAGGACTATAAAAACTACCTGTAACCTGTTTAAATACACCTCCTCACCATTTCTGGGAAGAACTTCAGATTCAGTTTCCTAGGACAATGTGTTACTTCATGGCTCTATAGCTAAAGCTAGTCTTCAGTTTCAGAATTGAAGGTAAAGCCAGAAAGCAGCACAGTTCCCCTCAGCAGAGACAGCCATTGTCAGCTCTGCAGATGAGGTTGTAGCGTTTACTTGGGCTGCTCTACTCTCTGATAATTCTTTCTGGCACAAACCTTATTTGTTTCAATCAAATTCTACATCTAGACCCAATTTTCAAATAGGTTTACTGTACTGTATTCATACAAATATTGCTTAGATATGTCTGTATATATATGCGTGCACAAGTCATTAAGCATGAAGTGACCCATTAATCAATTTTGTGACACAAGACATCACAGAACTAACATAATAAAAATCGAGTCCCACACACTCAAGCCATGAGGAGCCCCTTTCCAACTTGGTTCCCTGACCAACTTCCCTTAGCTTGATTCCTTCTCACATCTCCTACCTCTTGTAGCACTTAATATGGCAGGGGCTTCGATACATGCACATATGTACCACACACCCTGTATTTTAAGTCAGTTTTTTAATCAAACAGGGCTGTAACTTTATAATTTCACATAAGCTGAGAGGTCAAATGAATATATTAGAATGAGAATTTTCAACAAGCATCATGCTGAGCTTGAATTTGTTTATTCCCTTCTCTTTTATGCTTTTCCTTTGCGTTGGTTGAAGAAATCTAAAATCCAGATCATCCTAAGAATATGTTCACCACAGAGAACTTCAAGCCAGATAAGGGAATTAATAATTGTACAGTCTAAGGAATGCAAATACCTTAATGTTCCTGAAGATTATTGTGGATTTAGAAAAATAATCAGAAACATAACATAGGTTTAGATTCTTTTAGGTCTTTTAGCTATAAATAAACCTAGCAGATTTGATACTGTAGGACACTTCTGGTTTAAATTACAAGATATAATTCAGTGAATCATTTGCTCTACTAGGAGAGTGGGTTGAATTTTTGTCTCTATTTATGGCCACTGACCCCATCATTCTTGACAGGCAAATCTTAGGTCTGATCAAATGGACACTTGAAAGTCACCATGAAAGGCAGGAAGACAAAAGTATAATTGTTAGGACCTACAATGCATAGAATCCCTGTACCAATGCCAAAAAAAGTGAAAAGGCTAGAAGGTGTCAGTATGACATGCAGCAGAAGCTGGCTGAACAGGAAGGGGACATCAGACCCAAAGCAGAGATGGGGGATCCTGAGGCCTTGTACACTGTAGGAAAGGAAAGTCATTCCTCCAAAGAGGCTCAGCATCAACAGGTGCAGCTACTGGGGATGGCAGGGGTTTTGTCCACTTGGACACGAACAAAGAGGAACGTCCAAAAAAGCAAGAGTCTACATTAAGCACCCTAAATTACACCATAAGAAAATCCATTTTATCTCCACCAGCCACAGAGGAGCTGTAAAAATCTCAGGTGGTCAGGAATGTCAACACCTTTTTGTCCTTATCCCCAGAAGGCCAATACCATGTGCCCTATCTGCCAGGCACATCAGCCAGATGCATCCCCACAAGCCCTTTGCCTGCAGCTGAGGAGTGAGCACACCCCCAAATAATGAAATGTTGTGGCCCCCAACTTGGCCTTTGTTCAAATGCCTGCAAAATAAAGTATCTCTAAGAAATATTCTGGCACTTTCTGCTTCTTCACAGATTTGAAATACCACAGCAGCCATGGTACTGCTGTTGCATGTACCTCTTGATCTTCTAGTCCCAACTCAATAATGAAAGCAGGAAGATCAATGAAAAGTAATGCCCCCCCCCTCAATGCTGTTTTTTCCTTTTTTAAAATAGGAAGAAAAAGGAGGGTGGACCTGGAGACAGAATAAAAAAACAGTATTGTATCATAAGCTGTGTCCATCAACAGAGACCCTTATTTTAACAAAGAGAGTACCAACAGAATTCCAGATTCATCAGTAGATAAAATAATAATATAAATAATGAAATAAAATATCAGCTTTTCTCATTTGAAAACATTTCTGCCTTGCAATTTAAGTTAGGAGTGAAAATGAGTGTATTTATCTCCAAGAAAATGTCATTAACAACCTAAACCTTCAGCCATTGAGAGATAAAATCTGTGACATTTGCAACATGTGTAACAAAGGCCTCAAATCAGTCAGAGTAAACTCAACGTGGAAAATGTGAACTGACATAGTTGTCTCACCTTTACATCCGTTTCAAGACATGACAAGATACTAAAACAATTTTCAGATCATAAAAGTCAAAGTCACTTTGTGGTGGAATGGGGTAACACTTGCTATTGGACTGTAAGAAACTAACGTGGCATCCAACACACCTATGTAAGAGCTGTCCAAATTGTTCAGACCTGCAAACTGGACCAGATTTTTCCAGATCAATGGGGACAACTATCACCATGCTATTTGGGCAGCAGTCATACAGACAAGCTAATTTTTTAGCAGGCTCAGGATACAAATGAGCTCATTAGGTCCCAAAGCGTATTATTCACATATTCTACCATTTTTTGTGCCAATAGCAACTTCATTTTCATGATTTTCCACCTAACCCAGGTGAAACATGTTTTCCTTTTAATCTTGGATTTTTTTCAACATGAAACTTTGGTTATAGCTTCAGCTATAAGGAAACCCAGCCAGTGTAGAACTCGACAAAGGTTGATAAAAATCTGCATGAGCTCTAGTAGCCAAGGGGTTTCATGCCTTTTCTAAACCAATCCAGTCATACTCATAATAATTTACTGTCTGGACAGAACTTCTGCCCAACAAAATAGTGTTTAGTAAGTGGTCTGGAAAAGGTTTAGGAAAACCTCAGAATAAATGGTTTATTTACCTGTTAAGAAATTTTATGTCAAAGTCAAGAATCTGGTGACTTTCTGTTCCTGAACTTCAAACATGAGTGACAGTAAGGACAAGTGCATGGCTTCAGAAGAAAACTCTCGACAGGTCTTTTAGATAAACATCTGCTTGTACTCAGCCTCTGGAGACACAGCTTCTTTGAACACTCAGCAGTAATGTAAAGAGAAAGCAGCCTGTTTCTTCAGAACAACAGCTTGTTATTAAAATAATACATTCATTGCTGAGGGCAGACAGACCCAAACTCTGCTCTCTGGCCATGATTTATGCCTGCCACAACTGACTTTTCCTATTTAGGTCTTGGAGGATTTTTTAATGATTTTTTAACCTACTAGCCAATCGGTATTATTTTCTTAAAGTTTAAAATGAAGCTCCCTTGATCTCAAAGAAACATTTCAAACTACTTTTTATTAAAAAAAAAAGTGTAAGCCATCTGCTTTCTATATCAAAATAGTAAAATTAAGTGGCTCTAATTGTACAAAGTACCAAGGGCTAACACTGGATTCTTATGAAGCCAGAAGAACACTTTTTAAGAGTACAATGATATGAAAGGGCAATGTAGTTAAACAGCAATCCCCATCTTTAAAGGTTTGTTAGGGGCAATTTTCAGTGTGGAGGAGAAAATATGGGAAACCTTGGAAACAGTTTGAATCCTGCTCCCTCCCACACTTAGTACTTAAAATGGAAAATAAAGACACAAAACATAAGAAAGTGGGGATAGCACAAAACACAGCTGAGAGTGACAAGTGATTGCAGCAACAAAGGAAGATGGACTCGATCATCTAGTTAATTATAGCTTCTCCTGTGCTACTGGGCCCATGATCTGGGGGTGTGCACGTGTGCGTGGGTGTGCATGCACTGCTGAATTGCTCTGCTAAGGCAGGCAGCCTCAGCACTTCCCTTTTAATGATGCTACCAAATTATTAGCCCAAAAGCTCTTAATGAATGGGAAAAGAGAATGCCAGGCAGCAGCAGCAGCAACCCAGATCTCCCCTGGGGCAAGTTTGCCCAGAGAGGATATTTCTTCCAGGGTATCAGGCTGCATGACCCATTCAGACAGGGCCAGCTGCAATGTATGTCTGAGACAGGACATCAGACCCTCTGGTCCAGGATATGCAAAAGTCCTTTATGGCAAAGATGAAGAAAGAAATCATGCAAACCAGGGACTCTTCCAGAAATCAAATGACATCCACTAAAGAGAAGAGCACTCAGATGAGTACTGGAGTCTGTTATTTTCACCTCCTTTCTGAATATCCTAAAACAAGCAGTTCCTTAAGAAATGGGCTTTTCTCTATTCTGAGCCTCATACCCCAGCTCTAGTGGCAATTCCCTTTTCTATTAGAGAAGAGAGCTGACAAGCTCTTTGTCTTCCATGTGGTCTTCATAAAACAGGGATCTTGAGGTTCTCTAAAACCAAAAGTCCAATAAAAATTCCCTAAGAATCCCCAGGTACCAAAAAAGAGGACATTCCAGCAGGGCCAAACAAATGGGACTCAGAAGAAGCAGCAAAACCCTTGTCTTAAGAGATGTAAAGAATGGAAAAAGCAAAATCATTCTGCAGCCTAATTCAGACCTTTTATCTGCTAAACAGGTCAGCTTTGCCAAGAGGGTAACCTGATTTCTTGGCTGCTGGTGTACATGGGGCCTTTTCCTTCTAACCCAGCAAGGCAGTAGCACAGGCTGGGGAGGTCAGTTCTGTTTGATTCAACCATGACATGCACGACAGCCCAGGGGCTGCTCTCAGGCCCCAGCAGTGAGCCCAGCCGGGAGTGCAGTTTTGTGATTGTAGCCGCAGGCCCACTTCCAATCCAATTACACACAACAGCTGTGCTAGCTCCTCTTTCCCATCCCCTCTCCTTCCTCTGCTATGTAATTCCATGATAGGTTTTGTCATTATCAGGGGCAGTGAGTCAGGGTGGATGGCATCCACTTCGAGTGATCAAAGGAATAAGAACATGAGATAGAAACCAAAGAGAAAGTTGTTTACCCCAATGTCTGTGGAAGCAATAGTGAAAAAACCATACTATCTCCTTTCACTCCAACAGTATTCCAGCATTCCATGTGACATTCTCCTAGGGCTACAAACGTGGTGGTGTTTGAGAACATGAAAACGAACATGCAAGTGTTCACAAAGATGGCCACATGCTCAAGAAAATGTGAGAGTGCATGTGCAAGACCTGAGAGTAAATGGATTTTATGGCTGATCCACAAAATGTGGATCACTGCAAACCAGAGCACCTGATTAAGTAGGTTCAAAAGTTGGGAAAAGAACTGTTAGACATGGAATACAATTCTTCAACTTAGAAAAGATATCTCTGACAATATACACGATTGAAATAAAACACTAATTGAGACAGAGCAGGTGAACAGGAAATATATTTTTCTTTATTTGTGGGAAACAAAAAATAGGAGTCACTGAATGAAATTCTCAAGTAACAGGTATAGAAACAACTGAAATAAAATACATTCCACATTTTGATGGTTAAACAATGGGACTTGTTATCACAGGATAGAGTGGAGTTAAAAAATACAAGTGGATTAAGAAGGAAAAAGACTGGATCTATCCAGAAAAAATACATTAATCAGTAACTGTAGAACACAATCTGGATGCAACATCAGGTCAGAAAGTCCTTAAAACAGTAATTACCAGAAACCACCAAGGTACTGGGACAAGACCTATGCTATCATAGTTTATTAAACTTCCTCCAAAGCATCTACTTTCATAAAAAGACACTTCTGGGATAGAGGAATTCTTGCTCTCACCCTAGTGATAACTACTGCCATCTTTTTACAAAGAAGTTTGCATGCAACTAAAAAACATTCACATTCCAGTGTAAGAAAATTGCATTAGGGGACAATATCTGTGCAAAGGGCATACAAGAATCAAAATAATGGGGGCACCTATGAAGAAGAACCTAATCCCATACATACTGGCTTCAAACTCCTAATGAGGGGCACTGACAATATGGCATAGATGGATTCCTACTCTGACCTCGTACCTTTTGCAAACAGGAGATTTCAGATGGGCTGAAACCCATCATTGTCATGGCTCAAAAGCAGAGCTTTTCTTTAAGGAAGCAGAAGCCAGCATACAGGTGCTGCTTAAATGACCCTATGATATGGAGTCAGGGAGACCAACTGTAACAGCAGACCTGAGATGAAGAAGGGAAAGCATTTAAAGATGGCATTTGAAAGATTAAAGACCTGGATCAAAAATGTGCTAAATATGCTTATGCTTTCAATGATCTATGCATCTTTGTGAAAGATTGAAGGATTGTTTCAGGTAAACAAGGACTAATTTTTCCTCTGGGAAGTTCCTAGATAATGTCTACTGGGTTTTACTCATTCAGTTACATGCTAGTTACACTAGTCAGCAGTAAAATTATGACAGCCAAATGCCCAGAACTTAATTTCTTACCCTCTGCCCCATATTCTTCCACAAAATAAAAAAAATAAAAAAAAAAAGTGAGAGAGGAGCATTCGATCTATTGGTGTTTTTCCAACTATTTATCTTTCAGAATCTATACTACTGGTAAAGAATAGAAGCTGAAAAGAAAGAATAATATGCAGAACTGACAGAGACATCCATTCTGCTCTGTGCTGCATGCTACTTCCCAGCCAGCCACTTAACTTCTGTACTAAGGCTCTTAAACTCCATAATGTTCAGCTCTAGCACTCAAACCAGGTTGTGAAGGTGAGGTGAGGCTCTAGCTATAACCCCAAAGGGAAAGCTGAAGTATTGAAAGAAGCTATTTCACTCTCACAGCAAGTCAGTGACCCAGCCGAGGGCAGACAGCAACAATCCCAGGGCACCATTCAAAATGGGGTGTTGTTATTTTATAAATGAGGCATTACAGTTGCAGGAAAGGTGGGCTAAAATCTGACGAACTTCTTTTATATGTGAAATAAGCCAGCCAGGATCAAGTTGGCTCCTGAAAAGAGTATAGCATTGAGTCCCTATTGCTGGAGTGCCCTTCTTCACACGCAGAGGCCTCACAGCCAGGAAAGGCTTATGCTACACATTTCTGTTTACTTTAAAAATAAACAACTTATTTGCACCTTGGAGTAACTGCACCCAGCAGAATCCTGTGGTGCCCACTGCTGCCTGCCCCAGCCTATTCACAGCTCTCTCCTCTTAGTGGGGAATTAGTTTGAACCAGTCTATTCAACAATAATGAATACTTATTTAATCAATGGGCTCTTTACAGCCCTTCTGCTGCCTGTGGGTAGTTACCATGAGCACATAAAATCCCTAATTTGTCTTTCAAACAGTTGATGGTTAAAGTAACCATTTTGATAGGGGCCTGAGGCTCTTTCCTTGCAATACATATAGCTGGACGGCCAAATAGGTAGAAAGTGCCTGACGGCTTGGTAGGGAAGTGTAGAACCAAACCCCATGGAGGTCCATGTCACTGCCCAATCCCACAGCCAGTGGACCCCTAAGGGTGAGATGAGCAGAGGGATGAGACCGCCTAGGAGCAAACAAGTGACAGAGCCTTGTAATGAGGTGTGGGTAATTGTCAGACTGAAAACATACGGATGATTGAGAGAACACATGAAAAAGCATTCACATGTCACTAGAAATCCACATGTGGCTAAAAATCCATGCAAGAAAGCACATAGGAGTCCTGAAAACAAGAATACATATGTGAGCAATGGGGAGGATAAAAAATGCACATCCAAGCATGTAAATCATGAGAATAATAGGGCAGTAGGGCACAGTCACAGAGTAGAAGGATGGACCACCCCATGGCACCCACACTGACAGCAGTAGAGTCCTGTACTGGATGTGCCACCTCTGCTTGGGCTCCTACCAGTGATGGCATCAGCTCCTGCACACCAGGATATGTCCCTGATGTTACTTGAGGCATTGTTCATTACTGGCATAATATCATGTGTCCTACTGGTAGAGCATACCAAGGCCATGCTTTCCCAATTCACTCATCCTCCTCTGCCACACACATCAACATCTTCAGGATGTTGAGGAGAGACTTGTGACTCGAAGCCTTTGGTGCATGTCCTATCAGATCCTTCCAAGACAAGAGGAAACAAGAGTTCCTGGATACCTCCAGGACTGGGGCAGAGATGGTACAGTTTTGGCCTCGTAGATAACTGAAAAGATTGCATGTCAAAGTTAACAGAGCCTTTCTTTCCAAAGCATGCCAGGCGGCATTTGCCATTCGGCCACTTCATTCCCACTGCTGTCAGTTGAGATGCACACAGAATGCAAAAGCTCTCAGCAGAACAAAAATGTGGCTGATGAGAGAAGTCAAAAGGCTAAATATGCCAGGAAAATACCCAAGTGACAGGCCCTAGGAAAATACTCAACAGGTCCTCCCTGCAACTCTCTGAAGTGATGCACAAGGTCTGATTATCCATATGTAGAAAAGAAGCAAATTGAACAGAGAAGACATTCCAGATCCAGATAACTCATTCCAGGTTAGGTTTAGCAAAAGATATGCAGAAAGCTGAGAAGGAAAAGAGTTTTCACTTGCCCATTATCCCATTCCAGCCAGGACAACATAGGGTGTTTTCTTGGGCTCTCATTTCCATTTCACATAATGATAAAGCAGGTGGAACTGCCCAAGTGTGAAGTAAATATTCGTTTCTAAAGTTGCACTGGCAACAAAATGTGGATTAAAGTGGCCTACTGCATCTAACACTTGTAGCTGAAGCTGGGGGACCCTGATCCTGTCAACAATGAGACCACAATCCAAGGAGGGAGGTTTGGAGTTCTCTGTGGTAACATACACTGTTGTGGAAGCACGTGAAATACACATTCATTTTTCCTTTTAAATTAATTATTTGTGCCCTGGTGGGAATAAAATTTTGATACCTAAATAAGATCACACATTCAGATTCAGCCAGAAAGATATTTGTTGATTTATAAAAACATAAAAGAAAACCACAACAATAAAACCCCTTCTGAGTAGAACTGAAATTCAACATGTTATCAGTGGGAATAGCAAATGGAGTAGACTGCAGTAGGAAAAATAAAATTACTAAACTAGATTTTTATGGCAGACTACACACAGATGTATCAGGAATAAATTGTATATAATGCAGATTTCAATGCCAGGTTCAATTAGCAATACAAGCAACCATTTTTAATGTAACTTTCATTCAGAAAACATCCCTTTAACTGACCAATACAATGTAGTCTCTGAAGAGGGAAGTTGGTGACCTTTGCTACTACGAAGGCCTTCTTTCTGCAAAGACTGTGCAACCCAGACCTTGTGCTGTCCAGTAGGAAGCAAGATAAGACCTGCCTTGATAACTTACCACCACTCCTTAAGGAACAACCTTTTCAGCTCAGCAAAAGTAACACTTACCTGGAATATGATTGACATCTGTCGAGGTGTGTTCATGGCAAGCAGAAGGGAGAAAAGAAAGAGAAAGAAAGAGAAGAGAAAAAAAAGCCATTAGAGATGCACACAGCAACTCCACATCCTTGCATGGAAATCAATTTCATGCAAAACCAGAAGTAATTAGGTTTGTTTGAAGGCCACTCATCTGCATCCAAGCACGCCGCCATGCAAGGGAGGAGGCACTGGCTCCCTCTCCACTGTGCATGTAAAAGTGAATCCACCATCATATCTGTCCGGAGAGAGAGTTCCTGGAATCAGATAGAACCAAGCCACATCAGTTCCTGTAAGAATATTAGTTTAAATATTCTACGTTTTTCACACACACGAATGCAAAAGAGAGAAACAAAAAAACAACCTGCCTGCAGAAGGCTTCTATAGCACATAAATTCAAGCAAGTTTACAGAAAAATAGAGAAGAACCTGCTCCCCTTTTATAAGGGGCCACGTGAATTTATGGTGTAAGACATACAGCACAGTCCCGAGATCTAGAAGAAAGCCCATTCCTTTTCATTCTTTCTTCCCATCATTTCCCAAAAAACATCCTTCATTGCAGACAGTAGTGGAGGTGGGGAAGGAGTGTGCCAGAGCTCTGCACATCTCACATATTGTCTTTCACAAGATGCTAAATTCAGAAAAAAATCACATTTGATACTTTTTCTCTCTGTGGCATAAGACCACTTTTCAGAACTAATCACATAAATCTCAAAATAAAAAAGTCCTTTAAAAAGGGAGTAGCAAGACTATGTAATTCATAGTATTGTTAACAGAAAAGGCATATATTTGAATGTACTGTCTGTTTTGGGCAGAGCCCACCAATCCCAAAGAAAGTACTTTCAAAAAATGCTTCTCATAACTTTTTTAGCATCCCAAGTTTAGTCCTGCTGTGAATAGCTAAACTTATCATACCAAGAGGGAGAATCCTCTGAAATTTCATAGGATCAGATCAATATTTTCCTCACAAGGCAGCCCTCAGGGAAAAAAACAACAACAAAAACAAAACAAAGTAAGAACAAACAAAACCAAAACAAATAAAAACAAACAAATAAACCAAAACAAAAATCGCCCCCCAAAAAAGAAAACAAAAACAAAAAAACAACCCAACAACAACAACAAAAAAAAAACTTGCTTGAGGAAACAGGGAGGCCAGGTCCATAGAGAGCATTCTCCCCTGGAAGCTTGTACCCTTGTCCAGGAGTTGGGCTGGTGGAGTTATCACCTTTCCAGTAAAGCTTCAAAGATATACATTAATGATTTGGATTACAGATCCCAGACTACTTCTGCCACAAATCTAGGAGCATGACATACTGAGTGCATTGGCTTCACACTAAGGTCTAAGGCTATATTCTCCTTCTACCAGTGTGCCCTCCAATTTCCAGTATTCCACCTTCCTGTCCAAACCCACTGTGTTCCTGTGAAACTGGTGCCACTTGCTCTCCTGAGACACTTGCAGTTCAGTGGTGAGTGAGTCCATGCATGCTGCTTTTTGCTTATCACTTTGGATTAAAAAAAAAAAATTGGAGGAAAAGTCTCTGTGGAACATCATACATATATCCAGCTGTCCTTTCCTAAGGAGGTAACAACTCAAATAAAACAATGCATTAAGAGGGGAGGACCATTGCATCAATTCATTTCAATTCCATAGCTTTTATTTAACATATATGGCAGATCTGATGTGGATTATTTTCTGCCTTTCCTCTTTTAGCCCATAATTGCATCTAAGAACCAGTGTCTTGGTTTGCAGGCCTAGAACAACACTAAGCACTGAAAGTTTACCTGAAAGTAATTACTTTTAGGTAGGGAAAGAAAACGAGTGTCAGGTAGCAATGTATGCACTGAGGAGGGAAAGCAAAAGAAGGTGATAGCAGGGGCAGAAGGAAGGAGCAAACGCTTAAACACCACTCTAGAATGTGAACATGATGACAAAAAACTTACAAGTCCACTGCTAGGAGCAGTCTTGAGTTGATGCTTGAGAAAAATCAGTGGCAGTTAGAGATGATCACGTATCTCAGAAGAGGCAAAAGTGACTACCACAAAGTACTGCAAATGTTTCTGATAATCCAGCATCTGCTTGAAATTCTATTCCAAGCAGGTAAAAAGTTCTCGACCCATGATGTCCTCTCAGCCTCCCTGCACATCTGACAATGGAGCAGGCACTTCTGCAGTTCAGGCTACCAATGGGGGCCTGGAACAGCAGGTAGCCTCACCAGGGTGTCTCTGCTCCAGCAGGAAATCTGTGGGATGGCTGGGAAATAAAAACTATCAGCAGATAGAAAGGGCAAAGGAAAGAGCTAGCCAAGGCTTAGCAAGGGATAAACACATTAAGCAAGTAAGAGAAGAGGCAGTGGGCTGTAACTGATACATTGCTTGAAATAATACTTATTTAACTGTTTGAGAATTAAACAGGTCATGAAGCTGTTAAAAAGGGAAACGAAGTGCTAAGAGCTAACATAAGCATCTCTAAAATTTAGTTTCTCAATGGCAAGTAACAGCAAGGGGATTTATTTTTACCTGTGTTTTTTTTTGTGTGTGTGTGCCAATGTCCCGAAGAGCAGGCATCCACCATCCTGACTGATTAAACTCCCAGCTTTTTTTTTGCTGTATCTTTTTTGCAAAGTTTCCACCCAACAGGATTTCTGTATACACTAGTTGCACCACTAAAGTCACTGTTTGCATCTCTATGACACTTTCACAGTATTTATCTACATGGCAGCCCAGATCATTAGTTTTACTTCCTATACTAAATGCAGAAGGAGTTTCTTGTATTGCAGACACCCCCCCATGTGGTATCTGCTGGCAAATGCTGATTTCCAAATGGTGAAACTACTTGTTTCTTTAGTTAAAAATATCAAGAGAAACCACTGCTTTCTTTGCAAAGACAAAAAAATTACATATAACCGGTGAGTCCTCACAAAGACCCTACAATAAATAGCACTGTGGCATACAAGTGAAACTGCCATGCAAGACCCAGAATCACAAAGCACTGAATATTCTGGGTTAGAAGGGACCCACAGGGATCAAGTCCACTCCTGGCCCTGCACAGCACCATCCCCAAGTGCCATACCATGTGCCTGAGAGCTTTGTCCAAATGTTCCTTGAGGTGTGTCAGGCTTGGTGTTGTGACCACTTCCCTGGGGAGCCTGTTCCAGTGCCCGAACACCACTGTCAGAAAACATTCTCTAATATTAAATATAAGTCCCCATGGGAAACACCATCACACTTCTGCAGTGTGGAATGTTACTCCACTTTGGTTCACAATTAAAACTGTGGTTGCACATATTGACAAAAGGGACCCACCACACTTTATGGCTGGTGGCTCTCCAATGAGACACCTAATGCCTCAAGAAAGGTAAATGACAGATGGCATATAGCTAGTGAGACCAGACTGGGGGACCTGAGATGGCACTCCTTCAGACCCTGTCATCTGAGATGTTGTTTCAAATTCTTTGGGTTTTCTGGTTTGTTTACAATAGGACTGTTTAAAACATGCCCCCACTCTCTTCCATTAGCGCTACCTTCCTGCACCTACATAGATTTCCTCCCTGCCACAGGGACTGAGGAGGTAGAGTATTCCAATTAAAAAGGGAGCATGCAGAACCCATGGCCAACAAAAAAATTCAGTAACCACGGGACTTACTGCCACGTAGATGGAGGTTTCTCCACTTGCTTCAGCTCAGAGCAGTTCAAACACAGAAAGGTCGGCCCCTTAACGTAAGACAAGGCAGAGCTTGCTTTATACTGTACACAAGAGTCCATTTACTGCTCCTTTGTAAAGGGCTGAGGTGCAAGCCAGCAGTGTTTGCTTTTGTTCTTTGATGATAATAGCTGTGTTGAAAGAGGGATCAGCAAAGCTTCTGCCTTTGTCTGGTGCAGCCCCAGCCATCTATCTGGGTGGGGTGGAAAGGAAGGAGGAGGATGAAGGGCAGCAGAGGGAACAAAGCAAATGATATTTTATAGCTCAGATCATTTCCACGCCTTACAGGAAACCTCTGAGGTAGTTTTCACGCTAACATTTTTTAACATGAAGTTTAGCAAAAGAGGGAAGGTATCATGACAGCACACTTCTCTCTCCAGCTGGAAGACAAGAACAGTATCAACTTTCTGAAGGCATAAGCCCTACCAGTGCTCATCACGCTGACTTGAAGAGACCTACTTTCATTTCCATCTCTGCAATCCATTCAATCTGGTCTCCCACTCTGATGTGCTGTGGACACCTGTCTTCTGCCAGCAAAACTGTGAGCTACTGACTGAATTCACAAGTCACAAACAAGCTGGCAGGCAGAAGCATCCTAGGCTAAGTGGCAATAAGCACCTAGAAGTGAACGGCACTAAAGCTCTCCAGCATTCTCTTGTTACTCTCACTCTGAACACCAGTGTATGGAGAGGACTGGGGAGCAGGCAGAAACTGGAGAGAAGAAAAGGGCAAAAGCCATAAAACTTAGAGGCATTTTTTGTCATAGGAGACCCACACACAAATGAGAGGAAATCCATCTTTTAGACACAAAAATTACCATATTCTGAGGATTATTCAGATACTGACACCTAAAAAAGCTTTTCTAAAGTAGATTTGGCTCTCATCATTCTGCAAATACAGAAAATGGATATGGGTAGAATTTCACTGATAGAATCATGACTGGTTGGGAACTCAGGCACTTAATTTGATGTATTTTATATATATGTGTGTGTGTGTGTATATATATATATATATACATATATATATATATACTGTTCCAACCATAGACCAATTCATTTATGGCAGTCAACAAAATGATTCAAAAGATATGTGATGAGGTTAACTTAGTTAAAATCTTGGCTACACTGAATCCATAAAAGACTTGAAAATTACTTTAAAAGTGTCACGATTTTAATCCTTCATATTTACTTCACATCTTTCGTTTTACAGTGGTAGTAGGATGCATCCCTGGTGTCCTACCAATGATTCCAATGGGATTAATTTGCTAAATACTTAATTTGCTAAATGTTTAG